ACTTGGCCGCCTACCCGCGCGGACGGCGGCGCCCGGAAGACGGTCGGATCGCCCCGCCGCTGCCGCCATTAGTCGCATTCTTGGCGCTCGCCGCCGTCGGGGCTAACAATAGAAAGAAACGGTCCGCTGCGGGCGGCGGCCTAAAACGTCCGGCGGGGCGGGGACGCGCGCAACAGGACGCGCCGAGAAACGTTGCACGAAAATACAACGTTGCGTCGCGCTCGGCCGGAAAACCGCGTACCGTCGCCGTGGGGTGAACCCGGTCTCGCTGCGCGCCACGCGTCCCTGGTTAGGACGCGTCGCGGACGAGGGTTTGCGCGCCCGCCGTCACGGATCCCGCCGTCGACACACGTCCAAGACGGTACGTCACGAAACGCGCCGGGTGCCGGGAGGAGGGCGCGACTCGTGTCCAGGACGGCTTTCGAGCAGCAGATGATCTACGGGGGGGGGGGGGGTGATCTGCGAATCCACGACGAGTGATCTACGTTTTATTAGTATAAAAGCACGTTATATTTTTTTACTACAAGTACGTCATATCATACAAGTATTCGTCAAATATAAAAATAAAAAAATCAAATATAATTATGATTTCAATTGCAGTAAACATTTTATAATATTCAGACGCACGCATTATAGACAGACTCCGACCGACGAACGATTTGAATCTGACCTATCCAGCAACATTGCTAATGACTCGTGGTTATATTGTAAACGTCATTACTGGTTATCGCAATACCGTCCCGCTGCGGTCTACGATAATGTGCGTATGAAAAGCGTAGGTATAATATAATAATAATAGATAATAATAATTGTAGATCACAAACTACACCTTGTACAATGCGGTAGATCACCTGCTACACGAATGCCTCCAGGACGATTTCAAAAGAAACGGTCCGTGCAAAAGGACGCACCGACGCCAGAGAGCGTTTCATTATCGACGGTGTTCGTCGTGATCGTTTTCCACGTTTCGGACACTCGGAATAATCGGGTGGCACTGACGTGCGCACGCAGGGAACAACAGCGGCAAAACGTTTCGGGAGGTGGTCGAAAATATGCGAAATCTTTTAAATTTTGTTACGTACGTGAATTCACGGGCAAAATGTTATTCGTTTATTTCACTTGCAGGTCTCGCGGGAAAACATTGAAATCATTAAACGCGTTGGTCCGGTAATTTATTTTTAATATTTTTCTAGTACAATATCGTCGATGTTAAACCGTTGCTGCTCTCTTTTCGCCGACCTTGAACCGTTTGCACTGTGGTTCATCACGTGTAATCAGTGACGGTGCTAGAGTTTGCGAGGCCCTGGGCAAAATAAATTTTGAGTCTTATAATTTCTATTAATAAAATATCTTAAGTTCAGTTAAATAAGAACCGCTTGGCCTTAATTATAATTTTAGGTGTGGGGCCCTGGGCAACTGCCCCTATTGTCCTCCTCTCGCGCTGTTCCTACGTGTAATTAATTATATTCGTGAGGTTTTCCAGCGGCCTCACAAATTGTATGGGTTCTGGATACGAATATATTTTGAGATGAATAAATTATCATTATTTCAATAGGTACTGACACATGTTTTTAGTCACATAGTGTTTACCAAAAATGTCGAGAGAAAAAAAATAAACATCTTTCCAAAAAGTATAGTACGGTAAACCCTGTCTTATCCGGACCCTTTACGTGTAACAGGATTCTGTGCGGAAATGTACTCGTATTATGGTTCAGGCAGATTTTTATAATTTAACATAGAGTTAAACCCTTGATAAAACGGAAAGCTATTTTTAGGTACCATAAATCATAAAAACCTTAATCAAACGGAATAATAAATCATAAAATGAACAAAAATATTTTTTGTTACCCACATTAATTATACTATTAAAATTATTGTTAATTTAATTTTACTAAAATCATATTCTTTCATTATATTAGGAAATAGTAAAAGCAAATGAAATGTAAAGAAAACCGTTAATGATGAAATTAACAAAGAAGTTGGAAATTGATTTGTTAAAAATAAATCTAAGGTCATTCAAATTAGTGGTCTATTGCTTCAAGAAAAATCCAAGTATATCGCAATTAAGTTGGGGAACACTTTTCGAAGAATCCAATGGTTGGTTGAAATCTTATTCGAATGATATACAGGTATATTGATTTAAAATTGTTATCATTGGGCAGAAAATGTTAAAACCTTAATCTTGCGGAAAATTATACCTTTATAATACGGAATTTTCCTTTTAATTCAGTTACATAGAAACCTGCCTAAAATGGACATTTTTATTAAGTCCACGTGATTCCGCACAAGACAGGTTTTATTGTATATCGTGTGTCAAGTGCGGAAAGTGAGCTATTTCAGTCGCGAGTGGACGCGTCGTTTCGCCCAAGACTGAAATCGCCTTCCCGCGCGAGCCACACATACTATTTTTTGTCACGCCCTTGCGTTCGCGGAAAAGGTAATGCAGGGATCTATGCAACAACAGACTATTCTACGTAAACGATCTCATGGAAGAAATTAAATATGTTTATGCGTCGCGCAAGGATGTTATAATATGAATATAAAATTTAACCTTTGAGGATTCCTACTTTACCGCCCGCTGGACGGAAAGATGTCGCTTTCCAACGATTCAACCGCGGTCGAAAATCAAAATTTCGGTGCAGGGATGATAATATATATATACAGTTTCATCCGGTCTTCCTGAATTTAGGATCCGAACGGGCACCGGTCGAACGTTTTCTCCGTCGAAATTGTTTTTCGGTTTAGGCCTTGCCGAATGCCTGGCGTACCTAACTCGGGCAGTTCCGGCACGTACGAGGGGCAGTCTAATGGGCTTGGCGAATTGATCGAAAATATCGTAATTTTCCGTTCTTCGACGCACAATATTTGCCGTATTAATTCCATCCTATTTATTTTGATGTCCCGTCCAGGCAATTAGCTCTCGTCCGGTCTCGTACAACACCGCGAACCCGTGTTGCCATCTCGCGGAACTTCACCAAAACGATGATGTGTGTGCATAACATTATACACGCGGTATGCTTCCAGGGCATACGGTCTTGCTTTATTCGTGGACGCGGACGTTTCGGCGTGGCCATCTCGGCATGGATCCATTTTATTTTATTGTTGTAAGCGTGTCGTACAAATCGCGCTGTATGTTATATATTTTCAATGCGACTGTTGACTAGGATCATAAAATTGAATAAATGAATTTATTCGGCGTATTTCGTCGGTCGTATTACCGTTAGTTTTAGCCAGGAGAGAAGGTAGGAAAGATTAAAAGAAAGTGGACTGTAAAGGAATGAAAACGAGAAAAAAATATGAGGATGAGATATACGTATATATAAATAACCTGGTGTTATTAATAACCATATGAATAAAAAAAAAAAAATTATTCGACATATGCATGTGTATTAACATGTGCTGCGAAAAAATAAATAAATAATAAAATATCTTAATCTAGGGTTAGTAGTGAGGGTAATCGATGCTTAATCGCTATAACATTATTATATGGTGTAATAAAAATAAACGAATACGAGTAATGATACAACAATAAGAAAGAAAATAAATGTGACCTGACTCTCCTGGAACTGATGACGACTACTGCAACCGTCCCAAGGTTTTTTGGGGCCAGAAGATAATTAATTTGGGGGCTCTTTGATCATGATAATAAGATATGATAATCAAAATACTCACTGAGAATAACAAAATTATTGTAAACGTATTTTTCGAAACCTCAACCAATCAAGCTCATTTGAATTCATGTACCTACTGCATTACATACTTACATAATATAATTGAATATTATTCATATTATTTATAATTTAATCGCTCAATGTAATCGGACAAGTCGCTACACGTTCTCACGCGCGCAACTTTAATCGTCGACACGCAGTGTGTAAAATTGCTCAGTGTAATCGAGGCTTTATTATTAATTATTATACATCAAGATTTTATGGGGGCTCTCTAAAAAATATTCCAACAATGGGGCCTGGGGCCTGGGGTTTTCTGAGAAAATCGGTTGCCAAAGAGACGGCGTGCCATTGTTTGGTTTGCGCGGACGCGCAAAGGCCTTATTCGAACGGCTCAATATGTTCCCAACAGCAACTATACAGATACGTTGAATTGTTCGATATCCTTGCAATCGGGTCAATTGTTACAACATTTAAGATTTAATCCTCAGTGACGCGTGACGAATAAAGAGCATACGAGATGGTGACATTTTTTCCTCATGATCGTTATAATAATGATCGATTATAAAAATCGTTGTACGATAAGTATTTTTAAAGGGATGCGACCCATGATATAAGTCGTAAACATTTTTTTTTTTTTTAATCTCGCGAGTAAGCACACACTTGTATAGTATATTGAATTATGAATAAAATTCAACAAAAATAAATGTGAGCAATTTATTCAAACGTATAAACTTACGGTTAATTTTAAAAAATCGAGATATTTTTATACGCCCGAACGGCCGCGCCGAAATGTTGTAGACCGGTTTATTGGCGCGTTGCGGTACGGTCTTTATTCGAGTGATTAGGATGCGATACTGTGAGCCGCATTGGCGCGTTAAAAACGTTCGTAATAAAGTTAGTGCGTTACGACAAAACGCGTTTAACGATCACTCGCGACGGTAAAATGTTTTATCGATTGTCAGTTATGAATGTGCGATGATTATTAGCAGCGCTCAAATCGCAAATCACTCCGACCACATTATTAACCGACGCATAAACGTTTATTTTGTAACGATGTTCTTTCTCCTTCCACCAAATCGTTTTCGTACGGTAGGTAAACATCGGCATTTCGGGAAAAAGAAACCTACATTCACCCACCAGGGGCGTCCTAAGGACGAGGCGGAATGGACTAGTCGTCACCCCACTCACCATAATGTGCTCTTCTTCGAACGTTCGTTGTTCATTATTTATATAGCACTAGGAAAATACACGAAAGTACACTGTAAAATCGTGTACGAGGTCCAGCCCGCCCCTGTAAAAGTGTCTAGGGACGCCACTGTGTCATCCACTCCCGAGATATGACTTTGGTTGGTCGCGACCAAATCGAACGTCGTCCGTTTCGTACACGTGACGATCATATCCTAGTGCACCGGTCCTCGTGTACCTTTTGGACGTACACCCGTGTATCAGACGTGACGAACGCGTTCAGCCGTCGTGGACGGATTGGGGAGGGAGATTTTTTTTTGTCGCGTCCGCGTGGGAGCTGTTCGCGAGATACGGATAGGAGAACTTCGATTGCCGCTCGCGGCCGACGCGCACACATACGCAAGCGCACGCATTAATACGATCACACGTACGCGCATACGCACTCGCGCACGCACACCTATGCGTACTATAATTGTCGGCGTAACGGCCGTGCCAATAACGGGCGATTCTAAAAATAAACTGCGAGAAAACCGTGTCAACCGTGATCGCGTTACCGGGGCGACACTGACGGCTATGACTGCGACGGCGACGGCGGTGGAAGCGCGATCGCGAAAATGTCAATGGGTCAGACCTAAATACGATTTAATATTTTATTATTAGAAGGCGTGAACGTTGTACTGCGGTCCGCGGCGTCGACGGTTGTCCGCGGTGTTTCGGATTTATGTACTTCTTCGATTCTATTAGGGTCGCGTTTCGACGCGGATCGTCTGTGCGTTCCGAATAACCTGTGACCTCCCGAGTACTCCTTTCGAAGAATCCAACAATTGTGTTGCAAAATAATAATAATAAAAAAAAAAAATAATACGTTTATCACACAATTCGTGGTCGTACGAAATAAGTGATATATGGACGTCGCCCATCGCCGCGCAGATGTGCAAAATACGCGTTGGACGCGCGCACGTACGTTTTTAAATCTTCGGTATTACCCATCACCGCGCATGAACTCTAAAATACATAGTAGCTCGATCGCGGTAAAATGTATCTCGGATACACATATGGGTACGCGTATTTTATCCGTATATTTTTCACGGTTATCATCGCTTGTTAAGTAAATTGATGGTACTGTCTGTTCGACAGGTGTAACAATCCGCCGAGACACTTTTACTAAGCTTGATCGGTAAGAAATCGTATCCAACGTCTACAGATTTGCGACTACGTTCCGGCTCTCGGTTTTCGGACGACCATCGCGTGTGACGTACATAATGTTTAGAATTTTCACTAGTAATCGTGAAAACCGTCGAAATAATTTGGACAACTATAACCATCCGTGTGCTTGTATAACTGTCCGGTGTGTGGCGCTATATTTATGTGCGTCGACGGATTATGCATTTCGTGTGGTACCGGGTCACGTTTGTGCGGCAACGGGAAGCGCCGA